TCTCTCTCTCTCTCTCTCTCTCTCTTTCTTTCTTTCCTTTCTTTCTTTTATTTTTTATGAATGCCAGTGCCAACTATATTGCAGGTTGTCACGTCAGGGAATTGGGAACGTTTTCAATTAGCAATAATAGCACTTCCGATAAACCTCATTGGCTACAATACTGCCACTGTGTGAAGCTATAGAGTGCATGGTCTTAGCTGATCTCCCTAAGCACTTCATGAAGTAAATATAGTATTTAGCTGTGAATGACATGGAGTGAACAAATTGAACATTGGAGTGATGGAAAGTGATGGAACTGAGAGCAGAATCCAGACTTCATGAAGGAAATTCCTTGAGGAGCTATAGGACCCCAGACGCTGAATGGTGGTAACATCGTGCCTTCCCCTGCTTGTTGCTTTTGAGTTGTCTTTATTTAAATTTTGTTCTTAAATATATTTCCCATCCTACTGGGGTTGTTAAATATAAGATAATAAGCAAGAGAAATAAAACTCCCTGAAAGTAAAAACTGAGAAAGGGGGCATTCTTAAAAAAAAAAATACAAAACAGTATTTTCCATTATGTAAATAAAATGAATATGCACAATGTATACTGTAACGTAAATAATATCTTGTAAAGAGTATTTGTGGATTTCATTAATATAAATATTTGTGTACTTGCTAAAGTTTGAAGGGAAATTATTTTTGAAATGTAGCCACTGTTATTTCTCTGACTGTTTTGTTAGGTCCCAGAACAGGTACAAGAGAATGGTGAACTCTCATCCCCTCTGCAGTCCTGCCTTGGGCTTCTTAGAGTAGCAGATTTTCCTTTGAAACACTCTACAATTAACCAGGTATAACGAATTTAATCCTAAAGAGTATATGACAAATATTTCCCATAATTTGAACTGTTCTCCTTATAGCCATTTGAACTATGATCTTCAAATTGACTAACTTTGTATTTTTCTTCTTACAAAGCCTGCAGGTAGATACCCAATCCACTCCAATTAATAACTAATGATGATAAACTGAAGATAAAATCTTAGCTAACAGTTTCCATCTGTGGCTATGCATAAAATATCTGCTTCTGGCAAGTGACACTATATGCAAATTAAAATTTGAATTCTGCCGGAGTTACATAATAAATTCATATATGCCGAAAATAGAGATTTCCTCACTTTTCACCACCTTCCATTTCTGTAATGTTCAGGAACCCTATAAATACAGTTAGAAATATATTATCTTTATGTATTTCTTTATGACAGTAGGCTTGTTTTGGCTCTCACTTTGAAAGATATTTTAAGATATATTTAATTTAATGAATATTAATAAAGACATTGACATCGCTTTTGATGTCATTGTAACATTCTTAAGGTTAGGGCCTATATGTGATTATTACAATATTGCCCTGGGACCTAATATTTAGCATATACTCTCTGCCTTAAGGCCTTCTCTGTATTTGCTGCCAGCAAAACTATTTATTTAATTTACTGTGTTCTGACTTGACAATGGATATAAGTAATGGGTTCCATGTGCATGCAGCTCTACAGATTTTTAACTCTTGTTACTTCAGATAGGAAATTTTCTCTTCTATCTCTCTCTCTATCTCTATCTCTATCTCTATCTCTACATCTCCATCTCCAACTCTATCTCTATGTCTCTCTCCAGGAAGTTTTAGTTAGCATTAGGTTGTTATTAGGTTGTTCACATTTTGTTGTCTGTGTATCTATACATTAGTCTAATGTTCATTACAAGGAAGCATCATCCTCAGTTAGGGAGCCTTGTCTCTGAGTATGAATTATGAAATTGATAATTACCTTGACATTAAAAGAGCAAGACTTGATGGAATCCAGGGGCTCATAAAGAATGTTAGCAAGTCCAGAAGATTCACTGAGGAAACCGTGACAGTCAAACCGCTCTTTATGAATGCATTCTTGGGTATCTTATGCTTGACATCAGGAAACCAGGCATTTGTGGTTTAATAATATAGCTTTGTTGTCTGCTGGGGTAAGTATGCCATCTTATTTCAAAATTTTTTATTCACTTGAAAAATTGGTTAACCCTAGTAACTAAATAAAGGAACTATACTGAAAAGATCTTTATAGGCATATAAAAATGGATTATATAATTTATACAGTAGTCAATATTTTTAAGGCAAGTGGAATCTAGGAAGATACATGTCCATTATCTTTTCATTGGACAGTACAAAGCTTTTCATATCATCTTATGGAAATGATGTTCTCTTCAAATTTCATTAACGCCTAAAGGATACGTTTTAACTTGTAAATCACTCAGGCTAATCCTTCTCTCCCTTGAGGAATTTAATTACAAAACATTCCCCCAAGTAAGAAAAATAAATTTAAAGTCATATTTGCATAGGTGCTGGGCTGTGCTGTTTTTTTATTTTATTTTTTTTTATTGTTAAATCATGTTTGTGCACATTAATACTAGCATGGGGTACAGTGTGGTGTTTCCATATACAATTTGAAATACTTTCATCCAGTTGGCTGTGTCTGTTTTGACCTCTATTTGTATTTATTTATTTTTTAATTGTTGGAGATTCACTGAGGGTACAAGAAAACAGGTTACACTGATTGCATTTGTTAGGTAAAGTCCCTCTTATAATCATGTCTTGCCCCCCAAAGGTGTGGCACACACCAAGACCCCACCCCCTTATTATTCTTTTAAGATTTTGACTGAGTTCAGCCCTGCCAGCATGACGTTGTGAGTGGTGGACCCTGAGGGCTATGGCGTGCAGCCTGCACTCAGCCTCTGCACCTGCCTTGCCCTGCCCACAGTGGTCCTGGCAGCTGGGCACTTCACACAGGACTTGCTCTGCTCACAGAGCATTAATTTATGGAGAAATATGAATGGGTGACCCCAGAAAATGGTGTTGGGACAGGGGGAATCAGCAATTTTACACAGGAAGCTTTAGGAGATGTTTACTGTAGTCTACCTGAAGTTGGAACAAAATTAAACAAGATGAGTTTGGTGCTTTGGAAAGTGTGAAAGCTGCTAGTGAACGCTATTCTCCTTTATCAGGAGAAAAAACTGCAATTAATGAAGCTCTGGCAGAAAATCCAGGATTTGTCACCAAATCTTATTAAGAAGATGATTGGCTGATCAAGATGGCCCTGAGTAACCCTTCAGAACTAGATGAACTAATGAGTGAAGAAGTGTATGAGAAATATGTAAAATCTATTGAGGAGTGAAAATGGAACTCCTAAATAAACTAGTGTGAAATAACCTTAATAAAATAGATACTAACTGAGTTCAGCTGGTTTCTCTGTATCTCTGAGGTATTATAATACTAGCAATTTCAAGATCTGTAAATGTATAGAAGCAGAAAATGGGAGTTTTGAGAAGCTTGGGAACCCTGGAATGCCTATTTTTTTGTTTTAAAGCAAAAAAAGTGGTGGTGAATCCCACTTTAACTTACTGCAGGATTTATTATCCTATAGGAACTTGGTGAGGGATATTTCTCACTCCCATAAATATTTCTGAAAGTAGTGATTTAATTAATACAGAGGGGAGACTCAGGAGATGACTGAGAATGAATGACTGGGAATATTACTCAGCACGAAAAAGAAATGAGCTGACCAGTCATGGAAAGACAGGGAGACACTGCAAATGTGTGCTACCAAGTGAGAGAAACTGGAATCAAAGGCTGCCTACTTCATTATTGCAAGTATATGACATTCTAGGAGAGGCCAAACTGTGAAGACAATGAAAAGATGAGTGATTGCCAAGGGGTGAAGGGAGCAAGGAACGAATAAGTGGACCCCAAGATGTTTAAGGCACTGAAACTACTTTGTGTGATATTATACATGTCATTCTACATTTGCCAAAACCACAGAATGTACAGCACTAAGCGTGAACTCTATCTAACATATAAACTGTAGACGTGGTGGGATAAATGATGCGTCAACCCAGGCTCATCAATTGTAGCAAATGTCCCACTCTGGTGGGGCATGTTGTAGTGGGGGAGGCTGTGCAGGAGTGGGGGCATGAAGTACCAGAAGACTTCAAAAAGTTTATAGAAAAATGAACTTAAAAGATAAAATTGTAAAATATACTTTCTTTCTCAAGTTAGTCCATCATTAAAGAATTGAAAGTCCCAGGAATTTAACTATGTCAATGGAATGTTTTTACGTTACGTACTAAAGAAAAACAAGATTCCCTTGACAGATTTTTATTTTATTTTATTTTACTTAGGATTAGGAAACAAACAAAAAAACAACAACAAAAGAAATTCAGAAGGAGCCAGATCAGGACTGTAAGGTGGATCCTTAAAGATTTTCCATGGGAACTCTGGCAAAATTGCCTTTGCTGGATGAAATGAATGAGCATTGTTGTGGTGGAGAAAGATTTCTGATGAAACTGTGCCCAGGGCTTTTCTGCTAACGCTTTGGGTAACTTTACCAAAACACCCTCATAACAAGCAGATGTTTTTGTTTGGCCCTCCTGAAAGTCAGCAGGCAAAATGCCTTGAGCATCCCAAAAACCTGTTGCCATATTCTTTTATTTGTATAAATGTATGGGGGTACCTGTGCAGTGTTCTTGCATGCATACATTGTGGGGCGAACAAGTCAGGGCTTCTGTGGTATCCATCACCCAAATAACATATGGTATACAAATTAATTAATTGGTCATTATACCCCCCCTTTCCACAGTTCACCCTTCTGAATCTCCATTGTATATTATTCAACTCTCTAACAACTTTGTTGTTGACTGCCCACTTTTAACTGGACCACTTCCTTCCACATCTTGGTAGCCACTGCAATGATGGTGCTTTGAACCAATTAAGATGTCTGTGAGGTGCTGTGAGCTAAGATGATGCCACGGCACTCAACCTAGAGTGACAGACTGAGACTCTATCTCAAAAAAAAAAAAAAGATGTCTACAAGTAATGGTTATTATTTCCACTGTTAATTGTTGTTTCTCTACAGTTAGCGCATAAACAAGATGGATTTTATACTTGAAAATTGCTGTGGACAATCTTTAACATCATCTTGTCTCTTCTTATAATGAGTTTTTGATTTGTAAACTGCTGATTTCTTTGGGGCATTGTCCCCAAAATCTTTGCATAAAGTATTAGTGATTTCACCATTCTTTCACCCAAACTTCACCACAAATTTAGTGTTTTTTCTTATTTTAATTATAGTAGAATTCATGGTGCTCTGATAGGGTAAAGTGATGCCTT